GCCGGTCAACGTTCAACAAACGTCAGGAGACGGGGACTTGACTGCGGGGCTCCCTCGCTGTGCTACGTCATCGTCGCCTCTCATCTCATTGGCCCCCAGATGTGGCTCCCCTCCCCCTCCCCCCTGGTGGCAGCTGTCCCTGTGCTGCTGCTGCTGCTGCAAGGCGAACGTGGCAGTGGGAGCGTCATAATCGCAGCCGTGACGTCATCGTCATAATTGCAGCCGTGACGTCATCCTCGCCGTTATTAACAGTGGGCCATGATCGGTCCACTGCTGTATCAATTCCCCTCCCCTCCCACCCAAGCCAGCCTCACGGTCTTGGCGAGAAGTGACGACCCCACAGATTCCCATTCACATCCATAGATTATATTCGTACATGACGATGCATGTGACATAATCAAACATTAAAAGTTTTGTATTCGCTGCGAGTGGCATCTCTGCAATAATTATACAGCACGCAGGGTGGTGGTGGTGGTGGTGGGGGTCTGTGTGGAGTGGTGGGGGTCTGTGTGGAGTGGTGGTGGTGGGGGTCTGTGTGGAGTGGTGGTGGTGGGGGTCTGTGTGGAGTGGTGGTGGTGGGGGTCTGTGTGGAGTGGTGGTGGTGGGGGTCTGTGTGGAGTGGTGGGGGTCTGTGTGGAGTGGCGGTGTTGGGGCTGTCTTGGGAGTCGAGGTGCGGCTCTCTGCTGCGCGCTCTGCGTGGGGTCTCCACCTCACCACGCGTGGACTCGCACGTGGAGAGGCATGGGACTCGCACAGAGACCCATAGAGTCACACGGAGATCTCTAGAAACCATCGACTCGCACAGAGACCCATAGAGTCACACGGAGATCTCTAGAAACCATCGACTCGTGCAGAGACCCATAGAGTCACGTGGGGGATCCATAGATTCGCGTGCATCCTTAGACTCCCACGTAGACCATCATAGATCCATGAACTGGGAGATCCATAGACTTCCGTAGACTCGCACAGAGACCCATAGACCCTCGGAGAGCCACGGACTTGGGTGGAGCCACGGATTCACATTGAGAGCCAGACTCGCACTAAAGACCTGCACATAGACCCAGAGACTCGCACATAGACCCGGAGACTCGCACAGAGACCCAGAGACTCGCACATAGACCCAGAGGCTCGCACAGAGACCCAGAGACTCGCACATAGACCCAGAGACTCGCACATAAACCCAGAGACTCGCACATAGACCCAGAGACTCGCACAGAGACCCAGAGACTCGCACATAGACCCAGAGACTCGCACATAGACCCAGAGACTCGCACATAGACCCAGAGACTCGCACAGAGACCCAGAGACTCGCACATAGACCCAGAGACTCGCACATAGACCCAGAGACTCGCACATAGACCCAGAGACTCGCGCATAGACCCAGAGACTCGCGCAGAGACCCAGAGACTCGCGCAGAGACCCAGAGACTCGCACATAGACCCAGAGACTCGCACATAGACCCAGAGACTCGCACAGAGACCCAGAGACTCGCACATAGACCCAGAGACTCGCACATAGACCCAGAGACTCGCACATAGACCCAGAGACTCGCACAGAGACCCAAAGACTCGCACATAGACCCAGAGACTCGCACATAGACACAGAGACTCGCACATAGACACAGAGACTCGCACATAGACCCAGAGACTCGCACATAGACCCAGAGACTCGCACATAGACCCAGAGACTCGCACATAGACCCAGAGACTCGCACAGAGACCCAGAGACTCGCACATAGACCCAGAGACTCGCACATAGACCCAGAGACTCGCGCATAGACCCAGAGACTCGCGCATAGACCCAGAGACTCGCACATAGACCCAGAGACTCGCACAGAGACACAGAGACTCGCACATAGACCCAGAGACGCGCGCATAGACCCAGAGACTCGCACATAGACCCAGAGACTCGCACATAGACCCAGAGACTCGCGCATAGACCCAGAGACTCGCGCATAGACCCAGAGACTCGCGCATAGACCCAGAGACTCGCGCATAGACCCAGAGACTCGCACAGAGACTCGCACATAGACCCAGAGACTCGCACATAGACCCAGAGACTCGCGCATAGACCCAGAGACTCGCACAGAAACCCAGAGACTCGCACAGAAACCCAGAGACTCATGCATAGACCCAGAGACTCATGCACAGAGACCCAGAGACTCGCACATAGACCCAGGGACTCGCACATAGACCCAGAGACTCGCACAGAGACCCAGAGACTCGCGCATAGACCCAGAGACTCGCATAGAGACCCAGAGACTCGCACATAGACCCGGAGACTCGCACATAGACCCAGAGACTCGCACAGAGACCCAAAGACTCGCACATAGACCCAGAGACTCGCGCATAGACCCAGAGACTCGCACAAAGTCGCGCTGTGCGCGTCTCTCGGCGTGGCCCTGCGGGGCTGTGGCCACGCCGTCTCCCACCGGGGGGCGCTGTCGTCTTGCCGGCGACAAAGCGGCGACCTCGAGGACTCTCACCGAGCACCGTGAACTTGCATCGAGATCCAGAGCCTCGCAGTCCCGTAGCCAGCAGCACGCCCGGCCGCCTTTGTCTCCCCAGTGGCGACGTTTACACAACACACCAGCTACTCGTTTTAGGCTGAGTCTACCTAGGGGACAGGTTCATAGCACAATGCGCTCACCGGATTACACACAACACCTACAAGCGCATATAATTATATAGTTATCAACGGTGTGTGCAGTCGGGAGTTGTCGGTCCTTTAAAGGGACTAGGAATGTGGAATTCCCACCTCTAGCTGAGGGCAGCTCTGAGGAACGAGTTCTGCCCAGAGGTCGAGAGATACAGAGAGAGAGAGAGACAGACAGACAGCGAGACAGTGAGAGACAGACAGACAGAGAGAGACAGACAGCGAGAGACGGACAGAGAGACTTTGACTTTTAAACAATTATTGCTGCCAACAGCAACAGCACTGGAGGTGATAACGATATGAAACACACAAAGTCACCAGCAACACAAATACACAAAGTTACCAGCAACACAAACACACAAAGTCACCAGCAACACAAACACACAAAGTCACCAGCAACACAAAGTCACCAGCAACACAAATACACAAAGTCACCAGCAACACAAACACACAAAGTCACCGGCAACACAAATACACAAAGTCACCAGCAACACAAACAACACACAAAGTCACCAGCAACACAAACAACACACAAAGTCACCAGCAACACAAACACACAAAGTCACCAGCAACACAAACACACAAAGTCACCAGCAACACAAACACACAGTCACCAGCAACACAAAGTCACCAGCAACACAAACACACAAAGTCACCGGCAACACAAACACACAAAGTCACCAGCAACACATATAATAAACGCTATAAATCCACGCGCTGTGGCGCTAAATGCACCCCGCACAACACGAAATAAAAGTCACGTGGTGGTGGTGGTGGTCATTGCGCACGTCACGTGACGAGCGAGCGCTACAGAAGGTGAACACGTGGGGTGCCGTCCACGCTGCTACAGAGAGGGGCTTGTCCGGCTCCTCAACGTTGGAACAAGACGCGCTGCACGTCACCGACACGTGTGTGTGGTACGTGGCGTGCTCCAGCCAGAGCTGCACCTTGAGCAGGCCCCTGAACACCGGAAGCGCCACAGAGCAGCCGTCAGTGTCACCTTGCAGCTCGTTCTGTACACCGCCAACTTCGCCTGAGCACAGGCGAAGTTGTCATGGCGCTTGTTATCCAGGTAAGGCACCACCCCGTATACGAAGCTGCTGTTGTAGAAGGGCACCCCCAGTTTCCTGAAGATGTCCCCCAAAAGGCGGAACATTGAGTTTGAGCCGCTGGCAGTGTAAGTACCGGTGGGACAGATCCTCCCTGGCACCGCAGGAAATGCACAAGTCTGAGAGACAGAGAGAGAGAGACAGACAGAGAAAGACAGAGAGAGAGAGAGACAGAGAGAGATAGACAGACACAGAGAGACAGACAGACAGAGAGACAGACAGAGGAGGGAGGAGCAGGAGGAGGTGACGACTGGAAGTGGTGGGTGACGAGGTGAGGAGGGCGAGTGGTGAGTGACGAGGTGAGGAGGGTGAGGAGTGAGTGACGAGGTGGGATGAGGGGAGCTTGAGCCCTTGGACAGAGAACGCAACAAGTTTGTGTCTTTATTTACGTAATAAGTCTCAGGTACAATGCGAGTCTTGCATCACAAAGCACGACTCTAACCACGTCTTAACCACAGTGAATGTCACAACCAGAAGACTTGAGACCGGAGGAACCCGACGAGCTACGATCAGCACGGCCAGTCGGGGGCGCGACATCAACTCACAACGAACAACACGAACACAAGGAGCGCAGAATCGATACACAAAGACGCGACATTCGATGTTTAAAACATGGCCCCGAGTTGTATAAGAACTGTGTATAAATATTCAACAATATTTCATATCACCGAGCGAAGTACTTCATGTCAGACGTTCCGGGACGTCTGCGAGGTCCCCCTGAAGGCGCGAGAGAGGCCGCAGCTGAGAGGTCCACCCGGCACTGCACGTGGGGGAGCCAGGGATGGGCCCCCGCCTCCCTTAGTGAGTCACACGCAGACCCCCACAACGCTCACTCACGCTGCACCAGCACCGCACCACTCAGCGGCCCTCTCGAGCAGGGCCGTGATATCCCATAGGTCACGGTAGGCACTTTGCATAGGGTCCACCCACCCAGCCACTCACCCACTCACTCACCCACCCAGCCACTCACCCATCCACCCATTCACTCACCCACCCAGCCACTCACTCACCCACCCAGCCACTCACTCACCCACCCAGCCACTCACTCACCCACCCAGCCACTCACCCACCCAGCCACTCACCCACCCAGCCACTCACTCACCCACCCAGCCACTCACTCACCCACCCAGCCACTCACCCACCCAGCCACTCACCCACCCACCAGGGCCGTGCTATCTCATAGGCCACAGTAGGCACTGTGCCGAGGTTCTACAAAAATAAAATGGACCCGTGTTGTTTTTTGTTATCGTTTAATATGAACGGCATACTTTTGAATCTGCGTCATCCGATGTAATCGCAGTAAAAAATTGCGTAAAAAACACGTTTGCTTATAATATTTTTAGGAAAACCTTGTTTGAATTGTTTCAATAATTTAGAATGAAATCCGTTTATCTGCGGCATACTTCCGCACCCTCCCATCGAATGAGGGCACAGACTATATCGTGAACCTATCAGCAGTAACGACATCTGTCCAGCGGCTGGACGAAGTAGCGACGCGTGAAGCGAGTGGAGTGACATGGGGCAGCAGCAGCAGCATCTGTAGAGAGTTATCACTCAAAGTGCCTACGAAACTGCAGTGCCGAGGGCCTAACAAGAACTTTAATCCGGCCCTGCTCTCAACAAATCCACACCACAGGCAGAGACCTCACTGAGTGCGACCCACCGGTAGGATGCCTGGAGAGGAAATGTTTACTGGAGATAAAAATCTAAAAATCTACAAAGCGCTTAACGGAATGAGAACGCAGCAGCAGCATTGGCCGAGGAAACGTTGCCGCCCACAAAGTCGCTCAGCCAATGAGAGCGACACACGGGTGTCAGCCAATCAGGCCCCACCCATCCCCCCTCGCGATTCTACCATTATCACGATTGGTAATTACGATTTTAATAAATTAAGAATCGATTTGTTTAGCCAGGTGAGAGAGAGATCTCGCGAGATCGGGGTAGAGTCTCAGTCTCCGTTTAACACGTTGACCATCATGACCAATGTCATCCAAAACACAGTTTTTTTTGGATTAGATCGCGTAAACATGTGTCGTTAAAGCCGCCACCAACCTTACTAACTGGCTGTGTTGGGTGGTGGCAGGTTTAACGACACATTTACCATCACGCGTTCACTCTGCGTCTCACGCACAGCGCTCGCGCGTTCACCATCACACGAACTCACGACCTCCTGCATACCAGGATAGGTAGTTAACATCTCCTAGCCACAGTGGCGCCCATTATCAAGTGCACCCCAGATAGACTCGGGGCCTGGTGGAGCAATTTCAGGATTGGGGTCACGTGGTTTTGTTCACGGACACTCTGAGAAATCCAGGATAGAGAGGTGATGGAGTTGGAGACACACGAGAGATATCCGCTAGAAAGTTACGGTTGTCAAGGCAAGAGGTGGCAAAGTCACGGTCTAAGGTTTCAAGTAAAACTTGGAACCCGGAGCACACGGGCAATTTGTGTGTGCGACCCGCTCCACGTGCCAACCAATCAGAAGGGGCATCGAGCTGCCTGACCATTACTAAACGGGCACGGTCTCGAATACTTGTTGTCGTTTCTCTTCGTGTCCGTTCATCAGCGGCTGCCCTTTCACGTCCCTACGCACGTCCCCAGGCACGTCTTTACAGCCGCCGTCACTGTGGAAATAAAAACAAACAGCAGGTTTATCAACCACGCGGTGCCTGCACACAGCAACGCGTGGACGCGTCTCGCCGGGAACGAGCAGAGGGCCTCAATGGCGCTCACGCTTTAATATCGGTTCGAGTCGGCAAGACCAAGGGGCTGAACCCAGGAGCTCGGTGCTGGCTCAGCGTCCCCGGCACGGCCGCTGTGAACCGCTCAGGAAGAGACCCAGCGGTGCGTGAACGTGAAACCTCGTCAGTGACACCGAGTGGGAGGCCACCGAGAGAGCTCAGCCCGGCTGCCCACGTCCACGCTCATTCATCAGGGGCTGGGCTGGGCGGTCCGGGTGCCTGGGATGGAGGGGGGGCGGGGGGGGGGCACCTGCGTGAGTGGGGGCAGGGCCATGAACACCGACGGTGATTCTTCTTCTTCCAGACGAAGATGGAGACGATGATGATGACAATGACAGCTAGAGGCACCAGGACCCAGGCAGCCACCACCCCTCCCTTGTGCGAGGTCTCCTCTAGAGGGGCGAGGGTGACGTCACTCACGTCCCCACCGTGTGAATGTGGGGCTGCAGAGACACGGAGACAGAGAGGGGGGGGTTCAGCGTGACCCCCACTCGCACCCAGCACCACAGCCCCACCCAGCGACGCAACACGGCTTCACGTGCAGCAGGGAGAGACCACTCACTCAACACGGCTTCACGTGCAGCAGGGAGAGACCACTCACTCAACACGGCTTAACGTGACCCTTGACCTCCCGGCCTCAACCAGCACCGTGCACGTGCAAGTTCCCCCATAATCGCTTCATCGCAACGCGAACGTCACGCTCGGCTCTTGTTCACCTGCAGGCGTCACGTTCAGCAGCACCTCCCCTTGCACCACGGTGTTCTCCGCGTTACATCGGCGACAGTCGATGCAGCACAGAACCACGGGGCCGAGGTTATTGGGGAAGTTGGGGATGCCGATGGAGCAGTCTCCCATCAGCACGTCTCCCACAGACTTCACGATACTCAAGTCCTCTTTTTCATACCCCGATTGATAGATCTGCAATGACACAAACCACAATGTGGAAGGTCAACCACAATGGCACACGATGCCCACGGTCACATCGTCCTGAATGCCCCTGGGCTCGTTGAATGTCGCTGGCTAAGCAGGCTTGATGAGCTCGGTTACCACCTAGATGGGAGACCTCCTGGGGACACCAAGCGCTGTAGGCTTCGGTTGCAAGGCGACAAGGGGATGGCAAAATATCAACGTTGAGTTTGCGTAGAGTGGTAAGAGTGGGTCTACCTGTGGACTTGAATCTGTGTAGAGTATTGCGTGTAATCCCCCTCGTGTTAAACACGAGTTGCATCATGTGCTCTGGTTTCCCTCCACGTGAAGCCAAACTCTCATTAATGTGTTGTGTTGTAAACATGACAAATCAACTTCTTTATGAGGCACACGTTGTTTATTGTATTTTACTGCAGGGTCCCTAGCAGGAAGAGTATATCGGTCCCTTCACCCGCTTCCTAGGGAGCTATGGCCTCCGAACTATACGGGACCTACTCTGGTGACCCGTTCCCTATTGTCCTCCGACTGGGACCTAGGGGAGGCTAACTGACCCTGACCTCCTGGTCCGTGGGTCCTGACCACTGGCCTCACTGAGCTCCAGCCCTTAGACTGCAGAGCTTGGGGTCCAGGGTCCTATTCTCCAGCCCGGGCTTCAGTCTTCGGCGTGTAGATAACTGAGCCAGAGATCCCCGAGCAATGGCTTATATACAAGTTCGTGGCCGGCTCCGCCCTGGCCACGCCTTCCTTCTGGAATACTCTCAGGTGACATCATTCCCCCAGTTCCCCCCCACCCAGGGGCCCGGGGAATGTGTCCCAGGATCCGTTAACTGGGATCCACCATTGGCCTCTCTGGCCCATGGCATTTGCCCTGGCGAGGTAACGCCTCTGCACTCTATTGACGGTAAGTGGAACGACAGGCTGTTGAATGGTGAGTGACAATCACCCCTACAAATGTACCGTCATTGAACATAGATCTCAGAGCAGTGCCTTCTTGAAATGGAGTTGAAATGGAGTTGTGAGACTTATTGGGACATTTCTGAATAATTAAAGGGCACCACATAACTTTGTTATTATCTGTTACGTGTTGACGTAGACATCAAGTACAGAGATAATTATTCACGGTTTACATGAAATGCGGCCGTCACCTTCTTCATCTCTCTTCTGGTCACGTTCTCTGCGTAGCGTCTAGGCATCGTGAAGTACTCGAGGACGATGTGGCTCAGGCTGGACGTCGGTGGGGAGAAGGAGCAGGGAATAGTCACGTTCTCTCCCTCCCTCACAGACAGACTCTGCGGAAGAGTGATCTGGAGCATCGCAGCCGATGCCGCATCTACAGGGAGACCGGTCACACTCGTTACAGATACAGGGAATATCTCTCAGTTTATAATACAGGTTGTTTGGGTTAAGAGCGCGTAAATATATAAATGTGTCATTAAACCTGCCACCACCCGACACAGCCAACTAGTAAGGGTTGTCACGTCAACAGAACGTGCCAATTCGTCACTAGTACAGCACACCGGTTGTGTGATGGAGAGCCAAGCCACAACATTTACAATCTGAGTACGACGTTTCACCAGTAATTACAACGGGCATCATCAGGCGACAGCCAGATTTGTGGAGATATCCTCCTGTTTCTTTCCTTAAATAGAGGGGTAGCTGTGATGACATCACTTGTGGGCAACTTCTTGCGTGAAGTGTGGGGGGGTGAATTAATGAATGTTTATAAATGACTGGGTATCCATTGCCAGGTGGGTTATTTGCATGGTTCGGTTTACGAAATTTCTCCTTAAACGAAAGTGATAAATTATGAACTCTTTTCGATTTGGAAAATCAAATTTCCACGTGAAGGAAATTTCACCGGGGCCCGCACAGTGACGTCATCAAACAAAAAGGACCTGGGAAGCTGCATCACCCATCGGCGACAGCGTCACGCTACCTCCACAGTGCACAACAGCAACGTCCACACATCACCTTTACAAAGGGCTGATTATTTATGCTTTAATTATTCTTCAATCGTGTTTAATCTGTATGTTTTTTCGTATTATTTAAGTGATATAGGTGATGCATATTTTTTAGTTTCGGAGTATATTTGGAATTAATGTCCGAAACACATCCATCATTTTTAGTATTAAATTGCAGTCAAGGGAAAAGCCATTCCGATTACTGAAATGTCGTTTAATCTACAGAGACAGCGCTTACACTCGTTACGCCACTCTGCAAAGGTTCGTTCAGTGGTAACAGGGATCTTGAAAACGCCGTTAAACACAGGGGTGCTACACCATCTACATTTGTAATTGTGGAGAAGAGATCAATAAAACTACGACCTCAATGGAAGCTACGACACGGTGAGCTCCGCGTAGCATCAGCTGTCGGAGAGGAACTCCGCTCACCTGGTGAGTGAGCGCAGTGAAACGTCTCCCCCTCGACCAAATCTTAGGGCTGCCTCCCCCCCACCATCAGTGCCCAGACTCAGAGCGGCCGCTCGCGAGCCGAGTCTCAGCGGAGCGCGTGGCCCGGGAGCCACTGGCACGGCCAGGGCGGTGTCACAGGGGTCACATGACCCGTGACCTCATCGTGACGGTGGTTTATTAAAAACTAAAAAACTATTCTAATTAGCAGGTAAGGCCCACTGAGCTATGTAGCTCTTTTTTACAAAAGTGACCTGGCCACCAATGACCGCTCAACGAAGTGGCTTGTGTCGTGCTGAAATTTACAGCAGCAAAATAATCGGAATGCACGTTGATTATAAATGTGGAGGATAAAACCAGAGGACCCGGAGACAAATCCACGTGACCACAGGCAGAGAGACACGCAAACTCCAAATATACAGCAGGCGTCAGGGTCGGAATCGAACCCACAATCTCCTGCGTTCCAGGCGAGGGAGGTAACAGTGAACTCTCACCTGGCTAACGAAAGGGCACCGTCCAATGTGTGCTGGGTGAGTGGCTCTGGGTGTGAACTCACCCAGAAGGGAGATGAACAGTGGGATGATGACCTGCTTCATGGTCGGCTCTGTCTGCTGATGATCACAAACGAGAATGAGTCATTAGTCCATCTCACGGCCTCACTCCAATGGCTCACGCTCCCTCACATTCACATCACTCCGCTTCTACATCTTTTCATTTGTGACGTCAGCGATGAGATTAATCTTTTGGATTTAGTTATCCCAACTTTAATGACATAAACACGCGCTTCATTTGAACACGCTGCATGGACACTGGCTCCTAAGTGAAATAAAACGATGTTCTGGGAATGCCAAGGCACAGTCATCCTGTACGGCAATCACATCCCTAGCCCTGCTGCTTGTTCAGTCTGAACGGAACAAGCAGTGGAATCTCGCAGACGCGGCTATGCATCTGGTTCAGTCGTGGTTGTCGCCGTGTAGGGAGGGGGGCTACGACCCTTGAAGGCGAGGAACTCCACCAAACTCACGGACAAAGTAGCAGAATGTGAAACCGAGAAGTCTGTGGTGATGGAGCAGGCAGTGTTGTGATTATGAGCAGCGGTATAGCAAGTTAAACACGTTCTAGGCTTTCACGTAAATATGTCTTTAAACCCCCCATCACTTGACACAGCCAATTAGTAAGGTTTGTCACGTAAACAGAACGTGGCCAATTCATTACTAGAGCAGCACACCGGTGTGTTGGAGAGCAAAGCCACAACATTTAAATCGGAGTACGACGTTTCTCCAGTAATTACAACCAACTACATCAGGCGACAGAGCTGTGCAGAAATCCTGTTTTGTTACTTAGAGCGGTGGACGTGATGGTGTCACTTGTGAGCACTTCTTACACGCAGTGGGGGAGGTGGGGGGGGATTAATTAATGTGTAGTGGGTTCCACGTAGTCTTTAGAGGCAACACGGTTGATTTGAATCTTAACAGAAAGCCCCCTTTACTCCCACTACCTGGGGAGGTATGGCCTCCGGGCTGACGTGGCCTATCACTGGGGCTACGGGCTCTGAGTCCTCTGGCTAAGGGTGGCCTAGGGGAGGCTTTGCTGACCCGACCCAGCCAAGGAGCGGGTCCTGACCACTGGTCCGCGCTCGGCCCTGGCCCTCACAAGGACGTCGGGTCCCGTGGTCCCAGGGTCCTAGCCTAGCTGCTCTTCTGTCTTCGTCTTCAGAGCACTGCCTCGAGCCCACCTGAGGTCCGTCTTTTATACTCGTCCCGGGGACTCTCCGCCCCCGGTACCCCCCCCCCTTTCTGGAACCTTCCAGGGGACTCTGGAATAACCCCCCAACCCCTCACCTGGGGTCGGGAGGGGAACTCGGCCTCTCAACGGTCCGGCTCTCTCTCTAGCTCAGGGTGGCACCCCCTATCGACCCGTGGCCGCAACTACAGGCAAGTACACAGGGCGGTGTGCGATTTCCGACGCTGCAAATGCACCAAACCCCGGGACAAAGCAACCGACTGGGAGACCGGGGAGCCGGAGACAATCCTCGGTCGAGGCGCTTCAGCGCTACGCCCTTTTGTAATAACGCGGCGCGCTCTGCATTTAGACCTCCTGCCGACGTACGCGGGGCAATGATCGTAATGACGTCAGTCGGCACCGCCACGCACGCCCACCTAGCCTGGCACCGCGACCCAATGGCGGAGCGATAGACACACAGGTAGACACGGTGGAACAAACAGCCACTGCCTCACACCAGACACACAGAGACAACGTCACACACTCACAATGGTAAAGACACGAGGAGTCGATGAACCAAATGGAACCCCGAGAATTGCGATGGGGACCCAGGAACCCAGGGTCCCAGGGACCCAGGGACCCAGGGACCCAGGAACCCAGGGACCCAGGCACGCAGTCTCCGTGAGCAGGGCGAGAGAGACGACCTCACCTCCTCTCAGCTGTGATGCTGCTGCTGGGGGCAGCAGGAGGCGACGACTCTGACCGAAAATTCTAGATTTGAAGCTTTCGTGACTGCAAGGATCCCTACTCTTTGGTTCTATTCGGTAAAGTCACTCCAACGCCGTCCTCTAGACAGTCCAGTCCCTTCACCTGATGAAGGCCACTTGTGTTGTGGCCGAAACGTCGTGATTTTTTGTTACTTTATTTTTACCCCCGTGACTTTACCGAATAGAACCAAAGAGTATCTGACCGAAAACTTTAAAAGGGACGTGACAGTGACGTCGCTAGGCTAGCGGAGGCAGGCAGGAGGGGCGCGGGGGAGGGGAGGGGCGCGGGGGAGGGGAGGGGCGCGGGGGAGGGGAGGGGCGCGGGGGAGGGGAGGGGCGCGGGGGAGGGGAGGGGCCAATCAGAGTCGCCTGCTGCTGCTGCTGTCGCCGCGTGACGCTCGGCGCGCGCCGGGGGTGGTGGTGGGGGACATTCTCGTTTGGGCTGCGCTGTGAACTGCCCAGCGTCAAAATACGACTTGCGATGGCGTTGACAGTGGACTTAAACGTGTTTGTGTTGTGAGTGCTTTAGCGGTGTGAATACTCTGCAGTGTGGGAGTTGGGGCAATCAGGCGATATTTTTTTCCTGTATTTTCTGTTTGCACAGTCACACACAAAGTCACTTCAAGATGTTTTTCTTGTTCATGTTGTTTGTTTGTTGCGGTTGCACCCGATTCAAGAGCCGAATGGCTCACAGGGCTGTACCAAATAAATTAAAACTATGAACTACGAATTACCCCCCCACACAATGAGAATGGACGCGCCCAGCTTCACGGGCGCCATCTTTACGGCGTTGACCTGAGTGAGGTGGTCGCGTCTGTGAGCTCGCCTCGGGTTCCTCACCACCACACTCACTACACTCACCACTACACTCACCACAACACTCACCACTACACTCACCACTACACTCACTACACTCACCACCACACTCACCACTACACTCACCACTACACTCACCACTACCCTCACTACACTCACCACCACACTCACTACACTCACCACCACCCTCACTACACTCACCACTACACTCACTACACTCACCACTACACTCACCACCACCCTCACTACACTCACCACTACACTCACTACACTCACCACTACACTCACTACACTCACCACTACACTCACCACTACACTCACTACACTCACCACCACACTCACCACTACACTCACCACCACACTCACTACACTCACCACTACACTCACTACACTCACCACCACCCTCACCACTACACTCACTACACTCACTACACTCACCACTACACTCACCACTACACTCACTACACTCACCACCACACTCACTACACTCACCACTACCCTCACTACACTCACCACTACACTCACCACTACACTCACCACTACACTCACCACTACACTCACCACTACCACCCTCACTACACTCACCACCACCCTCACTACACTCACCACCACACTCATTACACTCACCACTACACTCACTACACTCACCACTACACTCACCACCACACTCTTTACACTCACCACTACACTCACTACACTCACCACTACACTCACCACTACACTCACTACACTCACCACCACCCTCACCACCACACTCACTACACTCACCACCACACTCACTACACTCACCACTACACTCACCACTACCCTCACCACCACAATCACCACTACACTCACTACACTCACCACTACACTCACCACACTCACCACTACACTCACTACACTCACCACTACCACCCTCACTACACTCACCACCACCCTCACTACACTCACCACCACACTCATTACACTCACCACTACACTCACCACTACCCTCACTACACTCACCACCACCCTCACTACACTCACCACTACACTCACCACTACCCTCACTACACTCACCACCACCCTCACTACACTCACCACACTCACCACTACACTCACCACCACCCTCACTACACTCACCACTACACTCACTACACTCACCACTACACTCACTACACTCACCACTACACTCACCACTACACTCACCACCACCCTCACTACACTCACTACACTCACTCTCACCACCACCCCCACCACTCTCATCACCACCACTCACATCATTACCACCCTCATCACTCTCACCACCACCCTCACTACACTCACCACTACCCTCACTACACTCACCACCACCCTCACTACACTCACCACTACACTCACCACCACCCTCACTACACTCACCACCACCCTCACTACACTCACCACCACCCTCACTACACTCACCACCACCCTCACTACACTCACCACCACCCTCACTACACTCACCACTACCCTCACTACACTCACCACTACACTCACCACCACCCTCACTACACTCACCACCACCCTCACTACACTCACCACCACTACCCTCACTACCACTACCCTCACTACACTCACCACTACACTCACCACCACCCTCACTACACTCACCACCACCCTCACTACACTCACCACCACTACCCTCACTACACTCACCACTACCCTCACCACCACACTCATTACACTCACCACCACACTCATTACACTCACCACCACACTCACTACACTCACCACTACCCTCACCACTACCCTCACTACACTCACCACCACCCTCACTACACTCACCACCACCCTCACTACACTCACCACCACCCTCACTACACTCACCACCACCCTCACTACACTCACCACTACCCTCACTACACTCACCACTACCCTCACTACACTCACCACTACCCTCACTACACTCACCACTACACTCACCACTACCCACCACCACACTCACTACCCTCACCACCACCCTCACCACACTCACCACTACCCTCACCAATACCCTCACTACACTCACCACTACCCTCACTACACTCACCACCACCCTCACTACACTCACCACTACCCTCACCAATACCCTCACTACACTCACCACTACCCTCACTACACTTACCACCACCCTCACTACACTCACCACCACCACCCTCACTACACTCACCACCACCACCCTCACTACACTCACCACCACCACCCTCACTACACTCACCACCACCACCCTCACTACACTCACCACCACCACCCTCACTACACTCACCACTACCACCCTCACTACACTCACCACCACCACCCTCACTACACTCACCACCACCACCCTCACTACACTCACCACCACC